AAAGGAACACAGTCAACCCTGTGCCGGTACAGCCGCACGTAAATATTTGCCTCAAAATGAAAACAGACTCTGATTTATTGCTCTTGACATCCTCCACGACACAATGGCTTTGTGCCAACATTGATCACTAAGACACAACCGCGCAGGAAAGGAATGCGTCGTCCTACGTGTGGAAAACCGGAACTGAAAAACCCACACTTTAACGACCACGTCACCATAGCGCTATAACCTTGCCTACCCTCTAACGAAACACTCATGCTCCGCCACCTACCTAATCAGCGCACGTTAACGAAACTGAGCCTTACTCGTGACCGGAATAGCCCAACCACCAGTCCGCGGGAAACGACCGCCGAATACATGCACAGGAATCGCTGGAAACTAAGGCGCTTGAGAAACTTGAGCCCCGGCTTGAAGTAGAGCACCTGAGTTTCAACCACGACCAGCGAGAGAAGCAGCGAGCGGGGCATACCCCTGGGAAGGTCAGCCACCATTACACTTACCAAACCACCTTACTTACCTTACCAAAACCACCAAAGCTGTTACCCTTATTTTGAGTATTTTTATTTTTATAAACAGCATTTCTATTTTACCATCAGCAGCGATGATGGTCTGGACCTAAGTCCGTTGGATCGGCACACAGTCAAACCAAGTGTAGTTATGCACGTTGGTCGCTATCTTGCCACAGCACACGGCACATATCAGTACAAGTAAATGTAAAAAATCGCATTTTGACCAGCTTATTTTTCTCAAACAGGAGATTCCGAGAAAATCTCTATCCCCTCTGGGCGCCGCATGACCAGTAGTCGATGCGCCCGAAACCCCTAACCGTCACTATCCCGTCTTCAGCCTAGGTCTGACGACGACGTGAAAAACCAGATTCAGACACGCGTTTAGAAGGCCATAATTAGCAATAATAATAGACTCTTACACCATAATTTTCCGAGAGCTCCCGCTCAATTAAAAAACAAGCTAATTGAAATATTCTACACATTTGCTTTTTTGCATTTACGTGCCCTAGCTCAATATATTTCCAAACAAATCAGTAAATGCTATAAAAATATGCAGGCACGAAACGGCGACGGCCACGCAACTCGTGAGCATGAATGTTCTAAGCTGTTTTAGCAGCCAAGGAGTTTACAGACCTAAAAATACAATTCACGAAATGAGAACCTTAAAAATTCGGTCCTATTTACCACAAGTTTGCATACGTTGAAAGCGTGATTTGACCAATTTACAACATCTTACCTTGCTTATAGCTTCCGGTGCGTTTGAAGCGTCGCGTGCGGGACCGGTCAGACGCTCTGTGAGATGTGGGACGAGCGACGTAGTAACAGAAGTGCACGATCACGAAGAATATATCAGAGCCCGGGCCAATGGAGCCGCATGTCTCTGGCAACACACGTGGCCTGGTCTTGTCAATGCACGGCACCGTCCTTGTTCCCGACGTGTTTTTATAAGGAAGAGAGGTTTGCAAAGCTAAATAAGCGCGCATGCCTACAAAAACACATGCCTTGCAAGTGGGCTGTAAGCTGATCGACTGGCAGACTGTGCGATTTTCATTGTCCCGGTTGCCGACGCGCATCCCATTTGGCGCCGATTTCGGAAACGGTGGCGTGGTGCGATTCCGGCTGATTACCAGCGCAAAACAGCACTAGCGTCACGCCTTGTTCAGCCGTCAATGTGATTTCAGTGATCTACAGACGGCACATTCGCGTCCTCTATGCAGTCCGTTTCACGCAGCTTCGCGCGTCATCTGCTCTAGTTGCCGGGATCCGCCATCAGTACTTTAAAACGATACAAAAACCAGCGGATCCGTAGATGGCGCTCGCGTGCGTGAGACCAGCAGAACATGCCGATTACCGCTCCTGACAACATCCGGTGTCTCTCTCCTTCATCTAACGTCGTTGGTCTCCTGTTCCCGCGACACGGGGCGGCCAGGACCCGGGTCGGTTTCCATCCGTGTTGTGTAGCTTTGTCGCGATGGAAAACAAATTCAGTTCCCATAATAGAAGAGTGACGGTAAAACTTTTCTCGTACCCAATGCTGCAAGAGAACTGCTTTTGATCAATGTCGCCATGCAACGAGTCTGAAAATCACATGCCGCAGCTTTTACAGCGTCGTATTTTTTGTTGCTGCCAGTCAAAATCGTGAATGTCGGGCCGGTCCGGCCGGGCCGGCCGGGCTGGTAACCCAACACATTGACGTCCAAGTCGCGGTGCTACGAGGTCGGCCTACCGTCTTGTTCAAAATGGATGGACAACACTCTAACTTGAGGAGAATATGACACAGTAAATCGAGTTTACTGCACCATCTTCCTGTAGGTTGCAGCGTTTTGGGCACGGCAAACTCGTCCAGGCACGGGCCACGAGCCGTGCACAGTTGTGGCTCCATGTCATGACCGGCATTTTCTTCACTTCCAGGCAGAGCTCGAGCGTAACGAGACTGATAGGGGCGCTTACAGAAGGGTGGCACTTCCAGAAGTCGCCCAACGCTTGTCTTCGACGTTTTTTTTCACGTAACGGTTGCGATTCAGAACGGAGTTCGAACTGCGCATCCTGGAATCCGATCCCACAACCCAGGCGTTACGCGAGATTTAGTGGGTTTTAATGCCGCAGCCGCTGGACAACGAAGCAGCCGAGAATGTCCAATGCGCCATCAAGCAGACGTGACAGCTCCCCACCAGTTTCCAATAGGTCGCTGAGTCGGGATGAACACCACGGTAGTGAACGGCTGGTCACCAGACGACCATACAGTCGTTCATCCCACGGCATTAGCGCCCAGCAAGGCACCGCGTCCGCCTAGGTAATGCATGTCCTCTCTGTGTAAGTTAGGCCTGGTTAGCGTGAAAGCATTGATGATGATTTGGGCTTTGGGGCGCACCGACTACGTTGGTCATATGGCGCTCATCGCGAAACCATTGACAAAACCCGACCCTATACATTTTGTTTCATATCCGGCACAAATATTCGCGGTCCTTGGTGGTTACACTTTGGAAACATAAAGCATAAATCAGTATGAAATGCATCCCTTCTGCTGGCTGTGAAAATCATGTTCAGAGCCCGTGTTCATAGCCTTCATCAAGTCTTCCGATTTGTTGGTCTGTCAGTCTCACAATTTTCTTGTGATGTCATTACTTGGTTATTACCACACGTGAATATTTCCGACCGCCCACTGCCGACCCGCTGCCTGACAATCTGGGCGACCGCACCAGTCCTGAACATCACAGCGATGCATCACTAACATGCTTTCATGCCATGTTTTCTTTTGGTGGGCAGCGTGGCTTACATTCAAACCTAAAATATCACCTACTGAAATACACCCTGATATGACTGGTATGCGTCATCAAAACAAGGGTCGTGCGTTCCCTAACTTGCAGTTTGTTGTTCTCTAGCCTCTGCTGTACGAAACCCCGCAGTTTTATTTAACGTTCTCACTTCAGGTGAGCGTACAACCTGGTACTGCCGCATTCCAATCAAAGGTTTGCCAAATTCGCGGAAGAGTCAAATTTTCACCTGCTCCGTTCTAAATGACTATACAACCGATAAAAGCATTGAACTGACATACTTGCGCGTCAATATTTCAACCACTTGTTCTGAAATTGGTAAATCACTTTTCCTTTCCCAATACGTCAGCCTGCGAAACTCGAGTGGCCCCTTCACGCACAGGCCCCACCAGACAACGAAAATCGCTCGACATCTTCGACATAATTTTCTATCAAAACACATCCAAGATTAGGCCTCACACAATCTATTACAGTATAATTACATCCTTAAACACATAAAACAAGAGTTTAGCCGCTCCCACAATACAACGATACAAATAATTACACACATCAACACAACCGATGTCATCAAGTCAAGTTACCCATCTAACGCCGAACAAGGTGCCTTATTGGTCTAAACTGTTGTCAGCATCCGACGCGGTATGGGAGCGTGCTGTGTGTGGTTTGCTCTCACATCCAACAGGCAGCAGGCGGGCGGTGGCCACACCGCAATAGCACGCCTGTCTGTGCGACCGGCCCCTCCTCGACGTTGGTCGTCCCCATGTACGTACATTTCGCACACAATTATTGTAATATTGTGCGCTCAAACTGCTTCCATCGTTAGCGCGGCAGCCTTCCACGTCGACTGATGACGGCAAAAAGATTGAAACGTTTTTTGAAGCCTTTCCACACAGACTGAATCAAGCATAGTCCAAAAACTTGATAAGCATCCGTTACCAGTTTAAACGCCGGGGACAGCTTAAGACCAAAGGAATGCCAGGAAGTGACCATCGCTCATGAGGTGATGCGTTAGGTGATGATGCTCATGATGCGCGTTTGTCCGATCCTAAATAATATCTGAAGTATATTATCGACGGTATTTCGACGAAGGAGCGAAAGGCAAGAAATGTCGGAACAGTCCAACCCAGCGCTACGAATTAAACGTTCCTGATCCTGAGAACTAATGGCTACATATTCACTTTGCCATTTGTGCCTTGGAGATGAAGTAAATAAATAAACGACGATCTGAACTTAACCTATCATATGTAATGTTTTCTTCAAGCAAACTTAGTGTAATCGACCGCGTAAAAAAACATAAAATAAAGGTTTGTTGCCTCCAACACAATCAACTGGACATACAAACACCACAGACAGGAATGGTTAAAACATGTCACACCTAGATACACGTCGTTGCGAACCTTTTTAACCAGCGTTATGCGTGATTATCGTGTTCAGAATGTGTTCCCATCATTGCAACGTAAATGCGCTAGGTCGCACAGCTGTAATTTCCGATCGCAAGTCAGCATGATTGACGAGCAGAAAATCCGTGCCTCGGAATTTTCGTATGTACATGTCGCAAATTGTGCTGGAAGCAGCCTCCGGCGCGCTTCTGATTACCTTGTCTGCGTCAAGTGCCAATGTGTGGTCCAAGCACATGGGAAGGCATGGAAATATCCAGCTGGGCACTACTGAGAAGCAGCAGATACAGAGCCCCCATGCAAGCAGACTGGTAACGTACCTTAGATCCAGACATGGGAAGAATTCTGAAAGAAAAGAGAGGGAAAGAGAGGTCAGAGGCAGACATAAGGACAACCAAGGCTAGCCGCAAAGGAAGTTCCCATAGAATCATAGGGCGCTGCAAACGATGGATGCAGGAAGATCAGACTTAACAGACAGAAGGCAGTTGAATACGTGACAGTTCCGGAACAACCAACCAGGAAACAATTGTGCATGCCAGTGTATAAACAGACAGTAGCGAAAGCAGGCTCCAGTCTTCCCAGTCAGCCAATACAAGCATAAGAGCTGGTATACATGGAACAAGTACTAGACAACAAGCAGCCAGTATATGTCAGCTGTGAAGATCCTGCATCGTGGATAGATGCAGCATCTAGCATGTGTGATGCATAGCCAAACCATCCACATCACAACCTCACAGCACACCCCTTTACTCTCTTCTGAGGCATAGACAGTACTTAGCTCAGGAGGGGTCAGATCAGGCCACAGGGGACCTTAATAATCAAGGGATTCCTGTTATTCACTACAGTGGGCTTCTTTTAATTCAGAGAAACCTTCTCTGACCAGACCCCATCTTAATGTCTCAGGCCTATTGGAGAAGCCCCAAGGGCATCAATGATTGCCAAAAATCATTATGACCATATCACCTTTGGGGAGGAAAGGGGAGAACAGCTTCAAAAATTCCCCTTGGCTGTACTGCCCACCCTCATCTTGGAGATAGCATTCCAGTTCCCACGGTTTTTACTGCATAAAGTCTCTGAGGGCCTGTCTGCCAGGTAATAATGCTGAATGGCTGGCACATCACACTGAGGTCATAAGATTGAAAACTGAAAACAATTAGTGCAAGACAAATGTGTTACTACATCAAGTGTATGGAAAACAGAGTTGTATCTGGAAGTTTTACAAACTGTAATGAGCTAATGATGTACCAATGCTGCTGCATGTAAATAATTCCCTCTTATATTTTTGATATTTTTGCAATGTGCCTTGATAAGAACAAGACATGTTAACACAGCATCAAGTCATGTCTCCCTTTATCCTGTTTTATGAGGAACAAGGCTATTACTAATGTCTTAGCTGTATGTGTAATGCTCCTCCCAAATCTGCCATCCCTCAGCAAAAATGCCTAGGAGCCATTAGCTAGCATGACACCTAAGCCTTTATACCTTTGGATGGCAGAAATGCACTTGACAACTTATGTAGTATTTCTGAGAATGTCTATCACTTAAACACATGTCATGTTCAATATAAATAAGACAAAATGTTAACCCCCTTCTTGTGCTGTCAACTCACACAGGTCTTCTAAAACTCTTACTGAATTTACTTAGAGGGAAGATTATTGTTAACCCTGGCTGTTTTGAATTGTTCCTAGCACTGTTCTTAACAGCAGCCTCAGGTTGTTCACTACCACTTATTATGAGACTTAGACCACTCGCACATTGTAGTAGTCCTGCTCATTCAATTTACACTGTCTGGAATAACCAGACACCCAGCCGGCATATTGCCGGCCGGCACACCATGGCATATTGGCTAACAGTGTTATGCCACTTCATTTTCAGATTCTTGTGGGATGCATCTCTTTCCCTCAATGACACCACTTGCATTCATGTTTTGGTGCATCTTTATTTAAACCTATTGTTATTAAAACAAATATTGTCATACACAGGAAAACCTGGCTCAATTCCTTGCCTTTAAGAGAAGTATTTTTCTATAAAACAAGAGAATGTTGTAGTTTTCATCAAGTTTTCAATGAAATGCTGTAAGGATTACTTCCATTCCCAAAAAAGTGATAAGTTAACTTGACATAATATGTACAGGCTTCCACTTATAGAAGTGAGATGCCTGTAGTATTGATATTGATATTCAGGCCTGTGCTGAAAATTCCTTGTCATTTAACACACACATACACACACACACACCACAGGATCAATAGTGCTTGCTCTTCCCTCTTCCAAAAAACAAACAACAGATAACTTTTTACTTCAATTTCTAAGTAATTGGTGCATAATGCAATTTTCCAGTTATGTGTGCAGCACATCTATAACAATCAAAATACCAAGATTCAGCACGGGACACATCCCCGCAAATGCTCAGCGGCACAAATAATGGTAGGTAGCAGCACATGATGCAGACATGTAAGTAGGTAACCATGTACCTGCAATGTGCACTTTCATGTAATAACAGCATATGCATAATTCCTACATGATGTCCAAGCTGACATAGCTTCTCCGTTTGCCTTTCAAACAGCATTAAGCACAGGAAAAACATGTCGGCGGCCTAAGGAAATGCTCAAACAACACCTACCCCATCATCGTTCTTGCTGGTGCAATGCCGTTACGTAGGTAAAGCTAGCTTGAAACCACTGATCAGGTAAGAATACCTTAACCTCAATAAACAACTCAACAGTGGTATCCTCTCTGCAACTATATACACTCCTCTACTGGCTAACAGCGGTTCCCAAACACGTGGAGTTCACAATACGCAATCAGAACCACCGCGCGCACTCACTTCCCTCACGTTCTGCAGTTGATTTGCAAACATCGTGCAGCATAGTTACCAGATAAGGATTTCTCTAGTTATGAAGACATTCTATCCTTCTCTAGCTATCTACGGACTTGAATCCGTGTGCTGCAAACGAAAATGTTGGAAACGTTGATACATGTATTGGAAGATAATCTACCAAACTGATATCAAGAGGCCACGCCACCACCAACTTTTTGGGAGGAATGAGCTTAGCGAGGAGTCTGCTGTGGAGATCTGGGGGCTTCCTATCCCGACCTGAGCGCGATTTGTTTGACTCAAATGTCGCCGATATCCAGACAAATAACCGAAATGCACTCAGCAGAACGTATTTTTCCGAACGGATCTTAATTTTCATTCATCGCCATTTCGTCGACGCTTCTTTTCGCCACCGCATCAGTGACACGACATGCTGAAAGTTGAAACGGAATTTGCTGACGTGCCGTTTGTCATCATACGAAATTGAGTATTTTTGATGACTCGAAATGCATATGTACTGAATGCCAACTCGCTGAAATGTTCGTTTTTCAAATACCAATTTGCCGAAATACTCTGTTTTGAATGTTGACTAGCCGAATGTTTTATTCGAATGCTTAGGCGTCGAAATGTTGCTAATGGGTCGTAGAAAAAGGTCTCTTATTACTCTTGCCCTGTTCACGCTATGCCAGCGTTTTTCAATCATTTTTTGGTCCTTAAAGTAAGAACCCTGAAGACCATCCAGAATGTTGCCCTCAGGATAATGGCAGGGCACTTTGTACTTTCTCCAGTCTTGGATCTGTTTGCAGACGCAAACAGATCCAAGACTCCCCTCCCCCCCCCCCCCCCCCCCCAGCTCCAGCCTCCCCCCTCCCTATCACACGGGCAAAAAATGAAACTCGTCGACATTTCATGGACGCAGCCCCACGCACGTCAGCAGTCCCACATGAGTCATCATCGCACGCCCCCTTCCCGTCCATACACTCAACAACCCAAAACTCAAGTGCCCAACGATCGGTAGATCCCTGTGTGATGCGAACGCAACGCGCCCATAATCTGCTGCGGATTCCGTTTAACCCAGTCCCACACCGCAACATGTTTGGTTCGACCATATAACGAACATCATCTTGTGTGTAAACACAAAATACGAGACGCATCGGAAGACAAACTGCATGAAGTCTTTGCTGAATTTAAATAAGACCATCGTATGTGATGTTTAATATGCATTGACGTCTTTCGGCGCGATGGCCGCGCAGGAGATGCCTTCGCACTTCATAATTACCGTAGATCAAACCACCTGTGAGATCAAAACACAGTTTCCACGACTAAGCCATTAGCAATGCTGGCAACGCTTCGCCACGCAACCAAAGTACATTCAGCGTGCGGCTATACGTTCAAAGGCAAATTTAATTTACATATTATAATTATATTTCATCGGCAATCTAATTGGCGATGCATATGGTTGAGTATGCTGAGAAGCCGCTTTCTCAAGGCAGGAATTGTCGTAAGTCGTACATTTTGGGCGTATAATGGTTGCAGATGCCTGTTCCAGCTGCGCGGGTGTTAGCGCGCACAAAAGGTAAGAAATCAAACTCCTGATTTAGATGATGCACCGTAAGATATTGAAACAAAGTGGCATAACATTATTATTGCTCATTGGATGTATTCTTAGAACAATATCTTAAAGTGTACCCAAGTCGTAAGCACCAAAGTTCCTAGTACTTGAAGGGATGATGCAGATACAGATAGGCTTTTATAAAAGCGATCCAGTTGGCTTGTGGCAGGGACAGTGTCATCAATTTTGAATGGAAGAAGCGAGGGCGTAAAGCCATCACAACCAGACTTGAATTAAAACCTGGGTAAGTAATCGCGCGTTTAATATCAGTCGTTTTCGCAAAGGATCATCGCTATCTAAATTTATAATGTGCCTTGCGCCGCACCACCGTAAGGCATGGCGGCGCGGAGGCCGGAGATGGGGCAATGGACATGGGGCAAGGACTGAGACCCACAACTTTTTGAAAAGTTTGCAATGGCATAAGGTTCCTTCCGAATGTGGAAAGACTTCCGTTGCCCCATTCCGATAGGAAATCTTTATCGCAATTTCGTAGCCTCTTTTCAGCGCAGTGAACGTTATCATCTAGGCCGGCAGGTCATGTGGCGTAATAGGTTATAAGCGCATCATATAAAGTGGCAGAAGCTTCGCAGTGGTGACATTTCGTGTATACCTACCCCAAAGTTACGATGTGACCTAGACGCCCGTTTTCAATCGTTTTTGGTTTGTTGAGAAACTAATAGCAGAGCAAATTTCGCTGATTATTACCGTAGCGATACAAGCACCCACGCGAGACGATACTTGAGGATCACGGAATTCACATACTCCTTCCAGGTCTGCACCAACACCGTTTGTGATGCGGCCTTAAGCGCAGGTAAATGTCCTCTGACGTGACGAGTATTCACTGGCAGAAGCGCGAATGCGGCATGAGCTGGGTCCCTTCGGTCAAGGCAAAGGCAGTACACGTAACGCACTGCTGCTCTGTTGATACTCATCCGCGTCACCATTAAGCGAAGCAAGTTTTCAGCCCCTGCTCCGCGTTGAAACCGCATTCAGCTGTTGCTGAACTGGCGGGCAGGGTCACAAGAAGGCGATCAAGTTTGTCGGCTTCAGGGATGGGTTCCCAGGAGTTGTGCCTCATATTGCGGAGAACGAACGGAAGAGATATCTGTTGCCCCCTTGCCCCTCTGGTGGCGCTACACCCCGGAGCCTCCGTTGTAACGCTTCGTTCGTTTCACCGTGGGGTAGGCATATGCAGCCTGTGCGCGGCCAGGAATAAACGGGCTACGAGATTGAAAGGAGGGAAGAAATGAATGCGAGGAAATGAACCATTTAGGTTACATGAGTGACATCCCGACACGTAATAGATTCTGAACCGGGCTCGGCAAGGGTTACACGAGTTCATGCCTTAAATGTTTCTGGGTTTAGGCAAAAACAAAAACAAAAACGGCGGAGCGGAGCGACGCAACATTTACGTCACCTTTTTAGATATCCATTTTGTGTCCGGGGGACGGTGCCGGCAGTAAAGTGATAAAGTCGCGCGTGTGAGAAACCAGAAGTGCGAGAATAGAAGTAAGTCCGGGGATCGATTCTCCGCGTTGTCCGCCCTTTCTGCCTGGGTAAGAGGCATGCGACGCCCCACGTCCTCAGCAGCTGAGTATGTACGGCCCCAACGACGGTGTGTACCTACCCGGGGAAAATTTCGAAGTTCCAAGCAGGCCACTGCGCTAGCTGAGGTAAGCTTGAAGTCAAAGTACAAAAGTCAGAACCCTTATGATTTGTTCAGGTAGGCACAGCTTTGTTGAATATTGTAGAAGCGTTCCGACATGAGTTCACTGGTATGGTTTGATCTTTAAGCATTCTAGGTTCTATGGTCTTATAACTTGCAGTGGAATGACTTTCGGCCAGTTTTCTGGCAGTGATTGATCAGACTGGAAGGCACCAACTTAAGAACATCGCCCCTGAGTGATTGGGTCCGTGTTTTCTGGACCATTGTTGATTAAACACATTCGAAACACGGTTTATGTCTTTTGGTTCTAAGCTTCTTTAGGAACATGATTTTAAGCAGCTAACCAACGCAGTTTTGGGAAATGACGGGCTATTCGTCGAACAAAGACATTAGTTCAATATATGTAAGCTTTATTGGCCTATCGCATTGACATAAACTACAATGTCTTTAAAACTGGCGACAATATGCAAAACATATTCGAGGACTGTCTGGGACGTTGACAAGGATATGGCGCAGCGAAACACTGAGCCAAGGGGTAAAAACTAGATACTGGGTGACCTCGCAGAAATTTGGTCCAAGTTCGCTGATTTGCGGATGAAATTTGACATTCTGCCTCCGCGAGTCCAGTTTGGACTGCATGTGTAAGGAAATGGTTCTCAACATCTCTCGGCATTGCGTCGTTTTATTTTCGCGGTGCGCTGGAAAATCTTCAAGGAGTCGCAAATGTCTCCCATCAGCTGAGCACATATTTTTAACCTGTGCTTCCCATGAAAGCACTCACTTTTTAGAGATGTAACCCGAACGTTTTTAAATGGATGGAATTTTGGGATCCAAGCTCGCACTAAGCAGTACTTGTGGCATGAGCACCCCTACCACCGATGGTGCAATTTCACGTTACGCTAGAAGCTGGTGGCGACATTTTAGCGCACCGTAAGGCACGGAACGGTCCGTCCCGCCATTTTATGTCCCCTGACCTTTAGCGCGGCCGCTGCCACCAGCCGCAGACCATGCCCGTCAAGCGCAAACGGTGAGCAAAACGACTCGAACCCAACGCGCCCAGGGTGAGCGGATCGAAACACGGGCGCTCTATATTTTTTTTTAAATCGTGGGGATTATATCCGTAGATAGATGACTTATTCAGCGATGCTCAACGCTATGGGAGATCGTAGATATTAGAAGTGAGCATTCAGCAAGCTGTGAATAGCGGATCAAAATGGATTTGTACGCTATCGAAGTACTGGGATAGTGCCAAGGTACTCAGAAGCACAACGGGGGAGGAGGAGACAACATGACTGGCTTCAAATTCCGGCGTGCAAAAGAATGCATGGTGATAGCCGACCAAGAACTGAGCACAGGCCGCCGTTTAAACTTTATACGGATCCATTTGCAGGCCGCATTATGAAATTCCATTGTATCACACACACACACACACACACACACACACACACACACACACACACACACACACACCACACACACACACACACACACACACACACACACACACACCCACACACACACACACACACACACACACACACACACACACACACACACACCACACACACACACACACACACCACACACACACACACCACACACACACACACACACACACACACACACACACACACACACAACCACACACACACACACACACACACACACACACACACACACACACACACACACACACCACACACACAACACACACACACACACACACACACA